TGCACTTCTCACATATGCCATATACATAGATGCAAAATATCTTAAAGGTATTTTTGGTTTTGAAATAGTCTTATGTCGCCCATGTAGTGGGAGCACTCACATTCTTTTTAATTGTTTTGTTTTTTTCTTGATAGGGTTTCTGTTTGTAGTCCTGGTTGTCTTAGAACCAGGCTGGCCTCAAGATCTGCCTGCCTCTGCTGGGATTAAAGACGTGGATCACCACCACCCAGCTTGCATTTCACATTCTAAGTGGCCGACCATTTGAACACTTGGTCTCCAGCTGTTTTGGGAGATGTGGTGCCTGTAGGAGGTGGAGTCTAGCTAGATGAAGCAGGATGCTCAATATGGCTGACAGGTCCTGCTTCCTATCTTGTGGGTTTCATAATGCTCCTGGATGTGAACAAGAAGCTCCTGATACCAAAAGCCAGGAGCTGCTCTTCTACCATGCCTTCTCCACCATGCTGGACCATATCCCCCAAAACTGTGAACCAGAATAAGTTTTTCCTCACTTAGGCTCTTTTGTAAGGTGTTCTGTCACAGCAAGGGAAAAAGCAACTAACAAGAGGAAAGTGTTGGGGTCCACCCTCTTTTTAGGGTGCATCCCCAGTGACCTGGACATCTCACTAGTTCTTGGCCCTTCCCAATAGTGCCATGTAGGCCACTAAGTCTTTAATATCATCATTCAATAAGTAGTGGCACTAAGCTGAGTGGTACTAAGTGAACCAGAGTTGAGGTTTGCTGGGTCTTTGTTGTTGTTGTTTGTTTGTTTTTGAGACAGAGTTTTATGTGGACCAGCTGCTCTTGAAATTACTATGTAGCCGAGGCTAGTCTTGAACAGTTGCTGCCTCTACCTCTGAAGTGCTGGGATTGCACGTGTGTACCACTATACCCTGTTCCATATTGAGTCTGCATTTCATAAACTGGACATATGAGCTGAATGAGGGACAAGCTGTATCACAAATTAACTAAAAAAAGAAATCCCAAGGAACCAGACCACCTGATGGAGCAGAGCACCACTGTACCTTCCAAGTCGAGGAGATATCGCTGGCTTTTCGCTGGGAAGTTAGGACGATGCTGAGGCACTTAGGGGACACAGAGACTCTGGGGAAGGTGGGTGCACGCATGCTGAGAGATTGGGCTCCCTCACGCACGCTGAGTAAGCTTCTTTGAGCTGAACTGTAAACCCGGTTGCACAGCTATAGTTAGTCCTTTGTGGGAGTCAGCCAAGAGACTGTTGCCCATGAGTCATTCTGAAATTGTGTAGATAGCTGGCTCTGGAGACCTGGGTCAGCTTCAGAGGGAGAGGGCAGGAGCAGGCATCAGATGCATGATATTCATCTGTGCATAACATGCTGACAGAAGGACAGCTGACCTCAGTGTGAGAACAGAGTGCAGTTAGTGCCCAGCAACTTTAGGGTCCAAAACTTCGCTTTCTGCCCTTACCAAATGTGAGACCCAGCCACAGACTTAGCTTTCTAACTTCAGCTCCTTCTTTGTAGAGAGCACTTGATAAATTAGTCCCGGGACTGGTGGCCACCCCAGCCTGGCCCCAAGCAAAGGAGTCTTGACAAGGCATACTTGAATGCAGGGCAGGGAGAGGTCTATTCCAGTTGCTTCAAGCTTCTGTCCAGGAATAAGAGACTGGTCAGCATATGCCTTCTAGCTTTCTTTCCTTATGTGGACACACTGGTGTAGAGGGTTGAATATGAATGACCTTCCTCCAATTCACACCCACCCAGAACACAAGTGAACTTATGTGCTGAATTTGTCTTTGCAGATGTGCTACTGAGCTAAAGACCTTTCAAAATTATCTTGGATGTAGGTAGATCCCAAATCCAGAGACTGGTGTCATTCTAAGATGAGAAGTGCCAGCTATTTGACAGGCTGATAGGACTGAATGAGCCTATTTAGGCTAGCATGGGCAATACAAGACAGTGTCTCAAAACAAAACAGGGGAGAGACCACAGCCAGGTGAGGCTAGAGATGACTGATTCTACCACAAGGCAAGGATGCCTGATACAATGGCCCAGAAAAAGGGAACCAGCTTGAAGTCTCCAGTTGCCATCTAGCACTCTGTATGTGTATGTGCAGGCAAGGAGGCTAGAGGGCAACATTAGGTACACAGGTGTATTCCTTAATCATTCTCTTATTTTTCTGAGATGGGATATTTCACTACACTCTCTGGGCCAGTGAGACCCAGGAATACCGAGGTCTCTACCTCCGCATAGCTGGGGTTACAGAGGCATGCGGCTACACTTAGCCGGATCCAACTCAGATCCTTATCACTTTACCAAATGAGCTCTCTCTTCAGCCTCCACTGTGCCTTTTTTTTTTTTTTTAAACAAACATTGTACGGAGTTGGTGAGATGACTAAGCAAGTAAAAGCACTTGCTCTAGTAGCCTAGCTTGATATGAATTTAATCCCTGGAACCTATGGTAGAGAGAACTTACTCCCAAAAGTTGTCCTCTGTCTCTGCATGCACATTCCTGAAGTCAGTCTCTCTCTCCCTTAAACACACACACACACACACACACACACACACACACACACACACACACCTTATTATGGCAAGGATTTCAGGCAGACAGTAAAAGCGTGGCTGACAGTATGGTGTCATTCACAGCTACAAGAGCACACATTGTTAACTTTTGGTTGGTTGTTCTCATATTTATCAGAACGTCTCTACTTTTCTTGGAAATATACTGCTTAAATTTAAAAGGTTTAAAAAGCTGATGGCCTGCAGCCCACATCCCTGCTCATTAGCATCATGGTGTGTTGCTTCCTATACTGTCACATTCTTCTACATTTAAACATGGTGGTTTCTTTTTAAATTTTTTTTAAACAAGGTCTCTCTTAAGTGCTGGTGGCACACACGTTTAATCCCAGCACTCAGGAGACAGAGGCAAGGATATCTGTGTTGAGTTCGAGAGCAGCCTGGTCTACAGAGTGAATTCCAGAACAGCCAGGGCTACCCAGAGAAACTCTGTCTGGAAAAACAAAACAGAAATAAAAACAAGGTCTTGCAGCCAAGGTTGGCCTGGAGCTTTCTGAATGGCAGTCTGACTTTGAACCCGTGATTCCTGCTTCTACCACTCAAGGGCTGAGATTACAAGCATGTGCAACCATACCTAGTTTATGAAAGACTGGGGAAGAAACCCACGGCTTTGTGCAAGCTGTGCAAGCATTCTACTGAGTGAGCCATACCTCAAACTAAATGAAGTGTTTTATAATGTAAGCTTGTCTTAATAAGTCTTCCTTTTCTCTTTTAATGCTAGTTCTGGGATTTTCAGCTTCAAACTACGGAAGTCATAATGGCCTGTGCAATGTATCCAAGGGAGAGACGTCTGAAGAAAATTTGTCCTTTAGAGTCTCCTGAGTAACAAAGGTTAAGAGGCTGACAGTGTCTACTGCCCCTTGCATATACATTTGGAGGAGGGGAGGAAACACAGGGCTTTTTACCTCCACACACCTCAGTCATAGGGGCAGTGCTCTGGAGAAGAGCAGCCAGAGCTGTGGCTCCAGCACTGGACCCTTCAGCAAGGAATTAAGGTGTTGGTGGGCACAGACCCTTAGCCCTTATATCTGCGACTTATGTGCAGCTCAGGGCCCATAAGTGTCACCTGCAGATGCTTAGGCACTTAGGAGGCTGAGCCCTCTTAGAGAGGCTTGGGATCACTCTGGATAGAGGTCCTGCTGGGTCTATGGATAACAGTGCTTACCCTCATTAGAGGTCTTGGTACAGGACAGCAATGAACACACACGGTAAAGGTGTGGGAATGGGAATCACTAGACACCCAAGGGCCTGTGACTGCCAGAACATGGGGCTTTTTATAGGCACCTCTCTCATCTAAGGGTTTTGGGGTACAGACTGCTGCATACCTAGCTGGTAGTTCCCACTAACCAACAAACCATGAGGACAAGCAAGAACCTGGTGATGGTTTGATCTACTTTAAAATCTTCAAACTGGTCATCAGCATTGAAAAATTCCATGATTTGGGGCTGGGGGCATGCCACTAAGTGGTGCTCCTCTTGTCTAGCATGTTCTTGGCTCTGAGTGTGCTCCCCTATGCTGCATGAAGACTCAAGGGTTTTATTTACAACTGTGAATTTCTGTTCCTGGTATTAAGCCAAAGCCTCTGGAGAGGGGTACACAAGCTTACCCAGCGGCTTGTAGCCCAAAACCTGCTTCCTCGTAGTCTGCCTGTTCTTTTTACTGGCTTTCCCAGCCTGGAGGCTGATGTTCAGGAGTAACATTTCTGTTGTTTAAGGATTCCCAGGCACACTTTACAGGTGGGAAACTGTTCTTGGGCTTCAATGTGTACAGTTCCTTAGGCACACTGCTGTTTAGAAAACAGGTGGGGTAGGGTGGGGTTTGTTCAGCAGTTGTTAATAAGCCATTTAATTTAAAAGGCTAGGAGAGAATCAGCACATGGGCTCAGTTGTATCCTGCTTTTGAGAGAAGAGTCCTCGCCCAATCTTTTTGAAATAAGTTCTCATGAAGCCCCAGGCTGGCCTCCAATTAAATATATAACGATGGTTGAACTCCTTATCCTCCCGCCTTCATCTTCCAAGTGCTGGGATGCTGTGTATGAGTAGTACACGCAGGCAGGTGGGAAGAGTCTCTTTTAAGGCAGGACAAAAAGATGACCATGTCACCCCCCCTCCCCAGTGCTGGATCTGTGCTGATGGTTGGCAGATCTCTTCAGAAGTCCCGGGAGGGTGAGTTGCAGTGAGGTCCCAAAAAGGTGCTTTGCAATCTGAAATTTGTTTCTAGGCCTTTCCAAAAAACGGAAAGAAGAACTCCATAGCAACGTCCAATAAGATGACCTTTTGCTTAAGAAAACACCCAAATAAAAAGGGGTGAAATGGTCACTAAAATACTCCCATAAAGTGCTCGCAAACATCAGGTTAGAGGATGTATTACCCCCTCCCTCACGGAAAAAGTAAATAAAGAACAAATCTGCTTCCGGATGTCCAGATTCGCCTGGGGTGTGTGTGCATGGTTCTCGTACCCAGCGCGGTTAAGACAGGCGAGCTGACCATCGCGCCCGCGGCGTCCTCTGCGCACCTCTCGCCTCCCTGAAAGCGCCTCCGTGCCAAGACTCCGGCTCCTCACTGACCGCCCGGGCCCGGGAGCACCCGCGCAGCTGCCGCCTCCCGCCCTGGCCGCAGCCATTTTGGAACGGCGCAGACAAAGGGCGAGCCCCGCCGCCGCCTGCCGCGACCCACCCGGCGCTAAGCGCCGCTGCTCGCCCGGCCCGGCTGCCATTCCCAGCCGCGCTCGAACAGCCGGACAACATTCGACACCTCGCCTGCTTCCCGGCCTCTGGCGCTTGCAGCCATTGGCCGCCTCTTTTAAGAGCGGGCCGTAGCCAATCAGAGGCCACAGGGGCGCGGGCGGGGGCGGTGTGTGTCGCCGCGCCTGCGCAGTGCGCCGCCCCTCCCCCGCCCGGCGCGCCGCGCCCCCGCCCGCCCC